GCCGCGGGCAGGAGGGAGGCCGGATTCGAGCGAGAAGGGAGGGCGATCGAGGCAGGAGCGTGCAGTTTTCGCGGTTGCCTCAAAGGGTGCCTCAGGATCCCCCCCCCTCTTGTCCCCTTCGTCCGTAGCGTGAGGCATCCCGCGGCAAGCGGGAATGCCTTCCGCTGAAAGGGTAACATGGATGATGGCGGTGGTGGTGTCTGATGATGATGATGCTGATGATGATGATGATGATGGTGATGATGATGATGATGATGATGATGATGATGATGATGATGAGTATGAGGGAATGGTGAGGCTGTTGATGCTGATGCTGATGATGCTAGTAATGCTGATGCCGGTGATGCTGATGATGGTGACGGTTTTGGTGATGGAGGTGGTAAGGATGAAGATGATGATGATGATGATGATGATGATGATGATGATGCTGGTGATTATGTGAGTATGGCGATGATGATAATGTTGATGTTGCTGCTGATGATGATGTTGCTTATGATGATGTGTATGCTGCTGATGCTCATGATGATGGAGATGCTGATGCGGCTGATGATGAGGATGGTGCTGATGATGATGATGATGATGATGATGATGACGACGATACTGACGGTGACGCGCATGATGATGATGCTGATGGTGATGGTGATGGTGATGATGATGATGATGATGATGATGATGATGATGATGCTGATGATGATGATGATGTTGATGATGATGATGACGTGTGTGATGATGATGCTGTTGATGATCATGATGATGATGTTGCTGCTGCTGGTGATGATTATGATTATGCTGTGAATGATGATGCTGATGATGATGACGATGATGGCGATGATGATCATGCAGCTGCTGATGCTGATGATGATGCGTCTGCTTATGCTTATACGTCGGATGATGATAAGAATGCTGATGGTGTTGGTGTTGCTGCTGATGCTGATGCTGATGCTGATGATGGTGCTGATGATTATGATGATGATGATGATGATGATGATGATGATGATGATGATGATGATGATGATGATGGTGATGCTTCTGATCATGATGCTGATGCTGATGCCGATGTTGTTGCTGCTGATGATGATGGTGGCGTTCGCCTGCCATTGAGACGCGCACAGACAGACGCAACAGTTGCCTTCGCCACATAAGCTGGCCAGCGGGGGGCGCTTTTGTGTTACGTTTGCGGGTCGGGAGGGGGGTGGGTTACGGTTGCGGGTCGGATGGGGGGTTGGGGGTTGGGGGGGTTTCTTTGTGTAGGTGCCATTCCCTTGTCCAATGGCAGCCTCACGGCCTCCGCCTGCTGTTCGTGTACGCTTGTGCTCTGGAACACGCGCAAGAACTTCATGCTCTGAGCGTTCACCGCCGCCTGCGGCCTTCTCTCCCCCCTTCGCGCGTCTCCTTCGCCTTCGTGTGCCCCTCGGCTGCCCCGACCGCGTCTCGGTTCCAAGTCGCCGCGACGCCGCGACTAAAAAAAGTGGGCTTGGGGGCGGGGGAGAGGGCGCCCCTGAGAAATCACCAGAAGCGATGCCAGAGAGCCCAGTGAGCATCCTCACGCGCCCCAGCGCACCAGCGTGCCACCGGCACGCTGGCGGGCTGCTGACTTTTCGCGCGGTTCCACCGACCCATCCAGAGACGCTTCCCGGGCAAGCTGTCATGAGCAGGGCGGCGGAGGGGCAGCAGTCTTGCAAAGAGTGGGGGCACCAGCTGCGATCAGCCCGAGCAGCCCCCAACTGCGGCCAACGTGTGGTCCTCTGCGGCCCTCTTGGGGGCCTCTTGCCATGCCCTTCGGGGATATTATTGGGAGGCTCCGTGGCCATTGGCCGCATCGAGACCTCTTGCGGCCGTCGTGTGGCCTCTCGGATATTTGCTGGAGGAAGCCTCGGACAAACTCGGGTCGTGTTGCGCGATCTTGGGTACTATCTCTGGGGGTATCGCTATCTTGGGACCTGCATAGGCCATCTGGTGTAGTCTGGCTGCCCGCGCCTCCATAGACTCAGGGGACGGGATAGCCCCCCCCAAAGGGAATACTGGTTTGCTCTGGAAGAGTTGCCCGCGCAATATTACACGGCCTGGTCGGGTTGTGCGTGGCCTGGTTTTATATAAACGGCTCTCATTTGATATGATAGGGTTTGATCTTGTTGGTTGGCTGGGAACTGGGAGAGGCAGGAGGAGAAGCATGGACGGGAGGCGCAGAGGAGAGATCCACGCCATAATTGTTGCAGCGCAGACATTGTTTAAGGGCCTCTTGCGGCGCCCTTTGGGGCCTCGCAAGCGCGTCTTGGAGGCTATCGGGCTGCCTCGGAGGGGCCTTCTCGACCGCCTGCGTCCCCTCTTCTGTAGCCGTGGGAGCTGGTTGTGGGTGGGGCCCTCTCGTGTGTGGTGGCTTGCCTAGAGCATTCAGATCGCCTGTTGGGAGCCTCCAAGAGCCTCTTCGGAGGCTCATGGGCTGTCTTCCAAGTCTGGGTGGCCATATTGGTGGCATCTTGGACCATCTTGGGGGCCTTTCGGACGCCTCGTGGGACCTCTTGGGCTGTCTTGGGGCCTCCAGGGAACAAGGGGAGGCGCGTGCCAGAAAACCTCGCTCCTCTGTGGAGCTTCTCGGCGACCTCCATGAATCAGTGGCGTTCTGTTTCAAGATGCTGTTCTCGGTCTGTGCACTTGGTGCTAGAAGGCAGAATCGGGTCCTAACACTGTTTCGGCGGCCGATGGTGTGACCCCAAGGAGGGGGGGCAGGGGCATTCGATAGACGGGGGGGGGGGGGGCAGCCCAGCGGAACTACAGCCGAGACGCTGAAACATTGACCGCGATGGGCTCAGGAGGGGCTCCGACTATTGGGGCCGTTCTCCAGATTTCTGTAGTGGGACGTGCGTATGGCCTAGGCTGGCCGTAGCCAGACAAGTCCCAATCGGTTCGTTCTCGGCCGTGCCCCGTGGTAGCACCATGACTGTACCCCGGGCCGCAGGTCGCACAGAAGGGGCTGGCAGGATCTTGGCAAAGGGTTGTCGTCGTGGTCTCCGCGGGTCGATGATGCTGATGCTGATGCTGCTGCTGCTGATGATGCTGATGATGACGATGATGACGATAATGATGATGATGATGTTGATGTTGATATTGATTAATATGATGATGATAATGTTGCTGATTATGAAGGTGCTGCTGCTGATGATGATGATGATGCTGCTGCTGGTGTTGCTGCCGATGCTGATGCTGATGAGGATGAGGACGATGCTGCTGCTGATGATGATGATGATGATGATGATGATGTTGATGCTGATGATGATGATGCTGTTGATGATGATGATGCTGATGATGATGATGCTGATGCTGATGATGATGCTGATGCTGATGCTGATGATGATGATGATGATGCTGATGCTGATGATGATGATGATGATGATGATGATGATGATGATGATGATGATGATTGTGATGATGATGATGATGATGGTGGTGGTGCTGATGATGTTGATGATGATGATGCTGATGATGATGATGCTGCTGCTGCTGCTGATGATGATGATGATGATGATGATGATGATGATGATGATGATGATGTGGTTGTCGTCGTGGCCCCCGCGGGTCGCTGCGAGATGCCCCCCGCGAGGCTCTGATGGGGGCGCCGCCGCTGCTGCACGACCGCACTGCCGTGCTCTGGGCCTCGTCGTGCTGCGTGCTGCTGCCGCTCAGCCTGCTGCGCAGCATGGGGGCGCTTCGGCACGCCTCCCTGGTGTGCATGGTGATGATGCGCCAGCGCTTGGCGCGGCTCCGGCCCCCAGGGACGGTAGGAGGGGGATGAGGAGGAGGAGGAGAAGGAGAAGGAGGAGGAGGAGGAGGAAGAGGAGCAGTGAGGTCGGTCACCCGACCAGATCTTCCCATGCCCCTCTTCAGACAAACCCCTCGGGCTGCCGAGGACCTTCACCGGACCCTCCAGGAAGGAATTGAGGCAGGATCGGAGGCGGGAAGGGGTGAGGAGCGTCGCGCCCTACCCCAGTCACTGCCGCCCACTGGCAGAGAAGGCAGCCTGCGGTGAGGATGGTGGTGGCGTTAATTCATCGCGGCATCGACGGGAGGCAATGACGTCGGTGGTTGGGGAGGTGGCCTTCTGTAATGATCGTGATGGCCTCGACGATTGCGGAGCTGGATGTGGAGTTCAGGCGCATTCGTGAGTTTGGAGCTAGCGGACTAGCGCATTTTGGCACCCCTCAGAGTGCCAAAACGAGCAGTGGACCGTGGTGCCTGAGGGTCGGGGGCCCTTTGAAGACAGACCGTAGGGGATGGCAAAGGAGGGATGGCAGATGTTAAAAGGCGTTGAGGAGACCAAATTGGTGGGAGATCAGGACTGCCTGTCGCCGCGTTCGGTGACGGTGGGTGCTCTGGCGCTTCTAACTTGATAGGAAGTGTAGCGGTTAAATTTGGGTGTGGGAGATGTTTGCGCGGGTTGCATTTCTCTTCCACGCGACGCCTCGTCCTCGTTCTCGTTTGCTCGCGCGAAGCGCATTTGCAGGACATTGATCCGATCTGGCTTAGCATGCGCGAGCCTCGTCGTATGGGGCCCTTCTTGGAAAAAGGGGAGCAAGAAGTTTTGGTAATAATACGCTCCAAGATTTTCCAGAGTTTCAACAAGTCCGCGCGAACTCAGGAAAAGGGGGCCGCTAGGTATACGGGTATCCTGGATCCTGGAACGCATCCGAAGCGGACGTGGTCCTCCCGCGCGTTCCCTGGCCCGTCATGGCTCCGTTCCCGAGTGCGCCAGCGTTGCTTCCGTCCTCCACAATGCTTGCTAGCATTTGGCGCGCAACTCCGCGGGTCGCACCGTGGTCACCGTGCAGAGCTGGGGCTCCCTTGTACAAGGGACGGATGGTTCGCTATGTTTATGTGCCTTATGGTGGCAATGGGATCTGGCGTCATCCAGGTCGGGGACATTTGGGTGATGAGGGGCATGCAGATGAGGAATAAGCGGCATGGAGCTTGGTGTCGCGTCGCGGGCAGTGGGTGAAGACAAATGGAGATCAGAGAGCGGGAGTTGTGACGATGATGCATCAAGCAGAGAGGTGCTTGGAGGGTCTCGACAGCAGTGAGAGCGGGGAGAAAGGGCGCTGACATAATATGTGCACACTGGCGCGCGTTGATACATGTGTGTGCACGCGTGTGCGGCTCGCTGTTCGACAGCAGTGCTTTCTCAAATCACTCGGCCTGGCAGTTCATCACACAAAACGGTCCTGGCGGGAGAGAACAGTGCGTGTGGGCAGGGGCTCGGAGTGCCCTGCGGACCTGCACCACGCCCCGCCCCAGGGGTTCTTCCCGCTGCCATGGTTTGGTCGCATCGCCCCAGACAGCCCTTGGAGGAGCCACACCGCTGCAACACTGCCCGCAAACGGCCCGCCACCAGCCGGCCAGGTCCCAGAGCCCCCACGACGACCCCCAGGACATTCGGACGCACCGAACTTGCAGAAGGCCTCAAAGGCCTGCGCGGAACCCTCCACAAAGCCAATCGGATGCCAATATGTGTGAGACAATGCTCATGCTTATTGGCGTGTTCTCCCCACCCTCCAGTGTGGTCGGCGCCTTGTGTTCTTTGCGTTGCGCCGTGCGCCCGGTTCGCCCCCGCCTCCTCGCTCCCTCCTCACCTTCCTGCCGCTGCCGCTGCTCTGCCTGGTGCCGTCTGCTACGGGCTGCCCGTGCCTCCCCACTGCTGCGGTGCCAGCCGCTGCAGCTTCTGCTGCTGCGCTGCTGCCCCGTGCTGGTGCTGCCCGTGCTGCCCGCTCGTCAGTCTCGAGTCTCGACGCACTCCTCGAACGGAATGTGCCGCAGATGGAGCACCACCTCCTGCCCCATTGTGGGTGCTGGTGCTCGGCCCCACGCCCATTCGACGATCCTTCCACCCCTCACGCGGGCCGGGCTCCGTGTGACATTCTCGACGTTTCGTGTATCCCCTACCCGCCCATGCAGGCAAGATCGGAGGCGCTCTTGAGGCCTTTTGCATGCGATCTTGAGCCATGTTCGGCTAGAGGCTGTCAGAAGCTATCTTTGGCCATGCTCAGCTATCCTGGACCATAGTGAGGCTGTCTTGAGGCCTCTTGGAGGTCTGCCTGAGGCTATCTTGAGCCATGCTCGACCTCATGGGATCAGCTTGGGGTTAGGAGGAGGAGGAGGAAAAAACCATAAAGGGTGAGTTGGAAGAAGAGGAGGAGGACTGCGGCACGAGGAATATACTCTTGGGCACCACTGTTCAAAAAGAGGAGGGTCCGCGATTCAGCCCCCCCTCGGAAGCTCAGAAATGCCGTCTTGTGGTCCTCTTGGGCCGCTTCTCTTGGGCGCTTTGGGGGGCGTCTTGAACAGCTAGGTCTTGGGGCGCTCTTAGGCCATTTTGGGACCACCTTGAAGCCTCAAACGCAGATCGGACGTGAAAAGTCGAGAAGGCCACACACACATTGATGGTTCGTAGGTTTTAGCAGGATTTGTGCCTCTTGGGGAGTGCCGTTGAAGGGCCGAAGGGCACTTGAGACCGTCTTGGGGCTGCCATGTGGCGCCTTGAAGGCATGCCAGAGGCTACCCTGAGCCACTTTCTGACATCTTGAGCCATCTTGGAGGCCGCCGCTGAGGCCCTCTTGAACGCTCGAATTGCCCGCGGGGCGGCCGGTCCGACACCAGGGGAGGGGGTATGGGGAAGGGTCAAGAGCCTCCCTCCCCGCCCGCATGCCGTCTCGCTCATTCCCGCCCGCCCTCCAAACACATACGTAGCACCCGGGCCTGGCCCGAGCCGCAGCATATGCAGCAGTCGTTTTTGGATAGGCAGCTATTGGGGGCCAATCCGCCGCCGCCGCCGCCCGCCGCCGCCGCCGCCGCCCGCCGCCGCCGCCGCCGCCGCCGCCGCCGCCGCCCCCGCCTGGCCGCCGCAGCCCAGCCAGCGACGCCCGCCGCTGACGCGCCGCCGCCGCCGCCGCCCCCGTTGCCGAATCGCCGCAGCCGCTGCCGCCGCAACGCTGCGCCACCGCTGTCGCCGCCGCGCCCGCCATCCGCCGCCGCCCGCCGCCGCCGCCGCCCCCCCCGCGCCGCCGCCACCGCCGCCGCCACCGCCGCAGCCGCCGCAGCCGCTGCCCCGCCGCAGCCGCGGCACAGCCGCCGCCGCGCCAAGTGTACTCTGTATTGTTTTTGTCCAAGGGATGGTGAGGGGGGGGGGTGGGGGGGGGGGGGGGGCGCATCGGGTTTGCTGCGCATGCTCCGAATTTGGAGGCAGAGTGTGCTTTGTATTGTTTTTGTCCAAGGGATGGTGGGGGGCCCTCATTCTCTCGGGTTGGCTCCCAGTCGCCTGGGGGAGGGGTTGTATATCAACAACTGGCACGTGTGCCATGGCTCTTGCGCAAAAAAAAAAAGGGGGAGGAGGAGGAGGTGGAGGAGGACGGGGGAAGAGGGGGCAAGACATCGCCCCTCGGGGCCCAGCAACGGCGGCCAAACCCCAGGTGGGGAGGGGGGGCGGGGAGGAGGTGGTGTGCGTCCCGCCGCGGAATAAAGTGCTCGGAGCGGAGGGGGCACGCCAATGGGGCGTTTGGGGCGCGGTGAGGAGGGGGGGGGGGGTGCGCCGCGACGCGGAATATGATGGTCGGAGCGGGGCTTAGGGCAGAGGGCCACGGGGCGGGGGTCCACTTGGGGCGCTGGGGACTCATGGGGTAGGGAGGGAGGTGGTGTGCGTCGCGACGCGGAATAAAATTGTCGGGGCGGAAAGGGCATGGGGCGGAACCGCCACCGGGGCGCCAGGGACGCGGGGAAGGAGGTGGGGGAGGTGGTGTGTGTGTGTGTGTGTGTGTGTGTGTGTGTGTGTGTCGCGACGCGGAATAAAGCGTTCGTGGCGGAGGGGGCAGTGGGCGGGGCTCCCGCTGGGGCGCTGGGGACGCTGGGGGGCTCGGGACAGAGAGCCACGGCGCGGGGGTCTCCACCTGGGGCGCTGGTGGCGCGGAGGGGGGAGGGGGATGGTGCGACGCGGAATGAATGACGTGACCACGATGGAAACCACCGCAACCGCAAGTTCACAAAAATATTCCAGGACGGGCGCAATCCCAAATTTACATGGCAGCGTTTCGCACTTGCACTCACGGTTCACTCTGCACTGCGCGCAGCGCATGCAATTACACGCGCCTTCGCCTTGCAAACATCACCCCAGGAACCATCTTAATAACACCAAAGGTGACCTGTGGGACCTGCGGGACCTGTGGAACCTGCCGGAATTGGGAGAAATGTTGGGAGCGTGAGCCCTGTGGAACTTGTGGGAGCTGTGCGGGCTGCGGTAGCTGTGGGACCTGAGGGACCTGCGAGACCTGTGGGACCCTTGGGACCTGTGGGACGCGTGGGCCTGGTGGGACCTGTGGGGCCTTCGAAATTGCAAAACTTGTCGTCCCTGCGAGACCTGTGGGACCTGTGGGACCCTGCCTGCGACACCTGGACCTGTGTAGGACCTGAGGGACTCGTAGGACCTGTGGGACCTGCAGGACCTGCGATACCAGTGGGACCTGTGGCGCCTGTGGCACCTGTAGGCCCCGTGGGACCTGCGGAACTTGCGGGGCCTGCGGGACCGGCGCGACATGTGGGACCTGTGGGACCTGTGGGACCGGAGGGGCTGGGTGGACCTGTGGGGCCTGTGGGACCTGTAGGGCCTGAGGGGCCTGTGGGGCATGCGTCGCCTGTGGGACGTGTGGGACATGCGGGACCTGCGCGACCTGCGAAACCTGTGGGACCTGCGGGTCCTGCGGAACCTGCGGAACCTGCGGACCCCCGGTCGCCTGGGGGAGGGGTTGTATATCAACAACTGGCACGTGTGCCATGGCTCTTGCGCAAAAAAAAAAGGAGGAGGAGGAGGTGGAGGAGGACGGGGGAAGAGGGGGCAAGACATCGCCCCTCGGGGCCCAGCAACGGCGGCCAAACCCCAGGTGGGGAGGGGGGGCGGGGAGGAGGTGGTGTGCGTCCCGCCGCGGAATAAAGTGCTCGGAGCGGAGGGGGCACGCCAATGGGGCGTTTGGGGCGCGGTGAGGAGGGGGGGGGGGGTGCGCCGCGACGCGGAATATGATGGTCGGAGCGGGGTTTAGGGCAGAGGGCCACGGGGTGGGGGTCCACTTGGGGCGCTGGGGACGAATGGGGTAGGGAGGGAGGTGGTGTGCGTCGCGACGCGGAATAAAATTGTCGGGGCGGAAAGGGCATGGGGCGGAACCGCCACCGGGGCGCCAGGGACGCGGGGAAGGAGGTGGGGGAGGTGGTGTGTGTGTGTGTGTGTGTGTGTGTGTGTGTGCGTGTGTGTGTGTGTTGTGTGTGTGTGTGTGTGTGTGTGTGTGTGTGTGTGTGTGTGTCGCGACGCGGAATAAAGCGTTCGTGGCGGAGGGGGCAGTGGGCGGGGCTCCCGCTGGGGCGCTGGGGACGCTGGGGGGCTCGGGACAGAGAGCCACGGCGCGGGGGTCTCCACCTGGGGCGCTGGTGGCGCGGAGGGGGGAGGGGGATGGTGCGACGCGGAATGAATGACGTGACCACGATGGAAACCACCGCAACCGCAAGTTCACAAAAATATTCCAGGACGGGCGCAATCCCAAATTTACATGGCAGCGTTTCGCACTTGCACTCACGGTTCACTCTGCACTGCGCGCAGCGCATGCAATTACACGCGCCTTCGCCTTGCAAACATCACCCCAGGAACCATCTTATAACACCAAAGGTGACCTGTGGGACCTGCGGGACCTGTGGAACCTGCCGAATTGGGAGAAATGTTGGGAGCGTGAGCCCTGTGGAACTTGTGGGAGCTGTGCGGGCTGCGGTAGCTGTGGGACCTGAGGGACCTGCGAGACCTGTGGGACCCTTGGGACCTGTGGGACGCGTGGGCCTGGTGGGACCTGTGGGGCCTTCGAAATTGCAAAACTTGTCGTCCCTGCGAGA